TTCCAGTCGGAGTCATGGCCCAGGAGAAGGGGGTTGCCCACCACGATGAGGAGAGCCTTGGCCCGGGTCACAGCCACGTTGAACCTCTGGAAGGAAGAAATGGTGGCATCAGGGGCTGGAAGGGCCCCAAGGAAGGAAAAATTCTTGGCCTCCAGCAGCCCTCAGACCTTTGGGTTCTTAAGGAAACCAAGGTTAAAGTCCAGGTCCAGCTTCACAAAGCTCTGGCTGCTTCGAACAGTAGAGATGAGGATGACGCTGCGTTCTTGGCCTTGGAATTCTTCCACAGAGCCCACCTGGAGGGGAGGGACAGGCAGGGCCTGAGGCCAACTGGGAAGCACAGGGACTGCCCCAGAGAGCTGGAGCTCCAGAGGGCAGAGAAGTCACTGGTGAACTGGAGCTCAGCACAGTGAGTGTAGAGACAAGAGCCAGGAAAAACTCAGAAAGCTAAAGCCCCAAGGGTGCCAGTGTTCTCAGCAAGGAAAACAACACTGCAAAGAACTCAGTAACTCCAGCAGTTTTCCAAACTTTCTTGAAGATAATCACTAAGTGCTTGTTAAGAATATACAACTCTGGGGTCATAACCCGGACCTCCTGATCAGAATTCCCGAACAAATGTGAGGGGCCAGCATGTGGCATGGTGGTTAAGATGGCTGGATTCCCACGTGGCTGGCTGACTGTGGTTCGAGTCTCAGACCTGGCAGCTTGCTTTCTCTTTCCTTCTCTGTCTCTCTCTGGTCAACTTCAAAAATAAATAAATAAAGACAATGAAAAAAATTCTTTAAAGAAAAAAAAAAAAACAAAGAATTCCCAAAGGTGAGGCTTCTTAATCTTGGCAGTGCTTTCAGTCCTGAATGCATGGTGGAGTCACCTGAAGAGCTGTAAAAAAAATACCAGTGCCTTGGCTCTGCCCCTGGGGTGTTAATTGCTTGGGCAGGGACCAAAGCAGGCAGCTTTAAAAGCTCTCCAGGTGATTTTTATCTGCAGTCAGTGTTGACAAGCACCACTTTAGAGTCAAGCCACAGAGGGTGGGGCTAGGGGTTGAGGTGACAGACAATTCGTATCACAGGCCAGGCCAAGGAGGCAGTGGAGTTTGGACTTCATCCTTAGGGCAGAGGCCTCAAACCTGCAGGATCCCAGGAATCCTAAGAGTGGTGTGGGTGCTTGCTACAGGCCTCCTGTGGGATTTCCACGGGGGAGAGGCTGGGGAGAGCCGCAGTTCCGTCACAAGGCAGTGGGAGTGGGACAGGGACATGGGCTGAACCAGAGCATAAGCAGGAGCTTGAGGAGGTCTTGAAGTGAGATGTGAGGGGTACACAGAAGGCAGGGAGCATGAGTGAACAGTGTGTCACCTTCAAGTCCTTGATGTCATCTAGTCCTCGGAGCTCCCTGTCAAGTCTGGTGATGCAGTAACGGATTTTTTCCACCTGGAAGGAGGGACAGGTGTCTTTCATGCCATTCCTCCAGAGCAAGAGGGAGCCAGGCAGGTGGCCAGGGGGCTAGGGACAGAGACAGCAGTGGAAGCTGGCCTTGCCCCTCTTCTAAGATAGGGAGCCCGCAGGGGCCTGAGCTCTGAAACCTCTGCCTAGTGGTCAGGCTGTTAAGGTGGTCCCATGGGGATGGGGGTGGTCCCACCACTGTTGGGAACTAAGGGCCTGACCTGTTTCCGGTATGGGGAGATGACGCCCACGTTTCGGGGGCTCAGGCGCACTTTGCCCTTCTTGGAGGAGGGGGCCAGGAGCAGCTTCAGGTAAGAAATCACTGTGGCAGCCTCTTCAGGGTTGAAGAAGGATGGGCTGTTTCCCTCACGCTCATCCTTGCCCATTACGCCGTGAAAGATGATGGGAAAGTCCTGGATGTGGGGTCAAGGGAAGCCCTTAGCGGGACCTCCCTGCTTCCCTTCCTTCCCACCCCAAACCCATCCAGGAAATAAGGGACCCAGGCCAAGGCAGCAGTGGGAGGGGCCCATGGCGTCCACGCAGAGCTCCTCCTACCTGTACCTCCAGTAGGAGGAGTCGAGTGAGGGGGTGGGAGCCCCGCCTGCCCTATCCAGCCTCACCTGCTGAGGCAGACCCTCCCAGCGGCAGAAGCGCTCTCGATCTACCACATCAGCACAGGCCTGCAGCTCCCTTTCGTAATAAAGCCGGTTCGGAACGTCTAGGATGGTGGGATGAGATCTGGGAGGCGAGAGGAGGAAGAGCAAGACCAAGGGCCATATACCTTCTGTCCTGCTCCTGCGGACCCTAGGGGGAACCCCGTTTATCTGCTGTGCGCCCATACACACTCCTCCGGCTCCCAGGGCTGCAGACACAACCTGCAGTGTTGCTATCAGGCACTGGGAACCACAGAAATCAGAACCAAATGTGGCTCCAGAGAGCACCTAGTTCAGGGGTAGCACCGACCCGTCCCCTGAAATAAAAACAAGACCCAAGAAAGTCAGCATAAGCTGGACGCTGTTGCTGGCAGGCTGAGGCCATGTGGGAGGCAGGCTTCAGTATCCGGCCCACTCTAAAAAGCTAGGCAGGGTGTGCACCTTGGGTTCAGCTACTCTGTACGCTATAGGAGGGTCAGGACGCCACCTCTCCAACCCCCATCACCCTACCACACATGCACTCAGAAAACAAGGACCCATTCCCCGGTTTCGGTTTTGCCAAAGGACAGGACAAAAATAAATGATCCCCTATTTTAGTGTTAATTGATAAACCCATGTTCAATTGAAAAACATAAGGCACAGTAGCTTATGTTTACTGAGCACTCAGGGACAACCCGGAACTCACCTAAGAATTTTAGATGTCTAAGCTCATTTACTAAAGGAAGTATATAGCTCTTAAATGCAAATAGATTTATGAAAAACTATATTCTCACACTTTTCATTTTTGCTTGGCTTGTCTGGAAATTTCACCTGGGACCTGTAGCAGATGCGTCTGGATGCCTAGGAACCACTGACCCCAACACACAGACAAGCCAACGGGTCCAGAGAGAAAACACATGCTAAGACGAGCAGCAGCGATGGGCAGAATGGAGCCTTCCTACCTCCCAGTTCAGTCTTTCTGCATCATGAGAATTGTGAGCAACAGGACTGTAAGGCCAGGCCTCCAGCCAGGCCGCAGGGGGGTGAGGTGGCAGAGGTGGTGGGACGCAGGGGTGGCGAGAGGCAGGAATACCTGTAGTTGCGTAGCAGCTTGGTTATGTACTTGGGGTCATAGCCCTCAGGGCCCTTCTTGTACAGGTTGTTGTGGGTGAGCAGCCGCTCCAGCAGGGAGAACCCCAGCCCATGTTTCTGGGTCAGTGGGGAACGCAGCACAGGTCCCAGCTGCTTAGGGTCTCCGGCCAGCACTAGCTGCCCTGCTGGATTGCCTGTTTTCATGACTTCCATCAGCCCTGAGAGGAAGAGGGCATGGGGAAAAAGGTAAGTGGTGGGACTTCTGAGACTCCGGGCAGGGTACACCTGCAGCCCACCCTGAGCCCCTCACCTGCTATGGCCACCAGACTCTCAGACTCCAAGGAGTGGCCAGCCTCATCGATGAAGATGTGTGTGAAGTGATCAATGGGAAATTGTGCCGAGACCAGCCTGGGTAGTGTAAGGTCAGGCAGGAGTCACACCCGGGCATCCAACTCCCATACCTGAACGCTCACTGCAAGCTAGCCCTTCACCTCGCCAACCAGGAAGTGTTCTTTCCCATCTCCCTAGCCTCCTGCCCCTTTACTCGCAATTAAGAGACACACACGTAACACAGTCCCCACCTGCCGGCAGTGATGAGCGTGGTAATTAAAACACGATATTCCTGCAACTTCTTCTTGGCAGGATACACGTACTCCCCCTTCTTCGCATCCCAGTTGCAGCAGGACTGTTGAGTGTGAAGAGACAGGAGGAATCAGTTTGGCCTCTGTTCTCACCCTCAGCCTGGTTCCTGGGCCCCCAACCACCTTTATCCACCTCCTTCACTTCATAGAGAAACTGAAGGCCAGAGAGGGGTTCTGACCTACTCAGAGTAACACAGCCAGTGTCTGAATCCAGGTCTTCAAGTTTTCCAGCTCCAGTGTGTGCCCTGAGAGCCTCCCTGGCATTGCCATCCCTTGGTCCTCAGCACCTCCCCAGGTACCTTGATGTCCTCAGGCACCATGCGGATGTCTCTGCTATGGGCCAGGAGGCGGTAGATGGAGCTGGGCAGGTGGACCCGGAGACGCTGACAAAGGAGGTCAGCCCCTGAGTTGGATGGAGCGCAGGCCAGGATGTGGGCTTTGGGCAGGTGCTTCACCACCTGAGATGCAGAAAAGCACAGTGGGAAGCAGCTTCCTGAGACAAGCCGTGATCCAGGCTGGACAGCGTGGCATCTGCCTCCCATGGTTCTGCCCCTAGGCCTCTGCCTGTCTAAAAGCACTTCAATGCCAGACACTCCTGCAGGAAATACCCAAGCCTGGTCCAGCTGCAGCAGCCCAGGGGATAGAGGGCCGCTATACGATGCTGGAAATCACACAGGAGGCCTGGGGCCAAGGCCCAGGTAAACTTGAATATGCTAGGCACATCTCTGACTCTGGCTCGCTGGGAGGCAGTGGGGAGGATAGTGGTGTGGCAAGACTGACAAGAGTGGTGTGGCAAGACTGACAATGAGTGCATTGCTTGCTTGTTCATAAACCAGCTCTATGATGACTGAAACGGGAGGACTGACTTTAAAAGCCATGCAGTGCCTTGGGACCAGTAGTTAGCGTAATGGCTGTCGCTGAACTCCCATGTGGTCGACCACGGTTTAAGTCCCGAATCCGGGACTTAAAGTCAAGCCGGGCACGTGTGCATGGGTGACCAGGATCCTGAGAGGAGAATGGAGACGGGATTGCGGTGTGGCCGTCTCCCCTGGGGGGTGATTTCTCCCTTTCTATCTCTCTGTCTTTCTGATGAGTGCCCTATAGCAAAAACCTCAGAAAAAAAACCCCATGCAGTGCCCAACCTGCACAATAGCACTCAACAGGCACGTTCATCTCCCTGCCTCTCCCCACCCTGTCCTGTTTAATCCTTAAAGAGTGTGGCACTCGCCAGAGAGAGAGAGACAGAGAACCTCCCAATGTGGCATAGTCACACCGCGATTCCTTCCCTTCCAGTTCTCCATCCTGCTAGAATTTGGGGAATGCAAGCACATGTGCTAGGTGTGGGTTTCAAGCCCCTGGGGCCTGGATTTGGACTGCAGTCAGTTATGTGGGATCCAGCTCCCTAAACCCTCTAGGCTACAGGACTGGCCCCTTACCTTCCCCCACCTTTTTAAGTTTTTTTTCTTCCCTATCAGGTGTGTGTGTTCACTGGAGACAGAAAGCTAGAAACTCCCCTCGAGAAAACCCCTGGGTGGGGGGATGGCTATGCTGTAATCCCTTCTTCTCCACTGTCCTCTTGGGATCTTGGGCACATGCGCATATGCGCATACACACGCACGAGTTTTAAGTCACTGGATCTGGGACTCCTGTGTTTGACTACCTTCGGAGCCCAGTGATGTAACCATTACGCCATCTGCTGGCCCCCCTACCTCCCCTTTTGTTGGTCATTCTCTGAACAGGAGCATTCAGGGAGCTGGAGGGAACCAGAATCTGGGGACAACTGCTTGTACCAGCAGTGCCAGTGCACAGGCCCCACCTGCTTAATGGCCTCCACTAAGGTGACGGTCTTGCCGGTGCCCGGAGGCCCAAAGATGATGTAGGGGGCTGGGCGGGTGGTGCCTGTAACGATGTGCTTCATGGCCTGCAGCTGCTCTGGGTTGGACTCCAGACTCCGGTCATACAGCCTGGCAGAGGGGCCGGGAATAGGAACTTGAAGCCATGCAGTGTCCTAGAGGCCTCCCGACTCCACCCTTTACACCTATACTCCCAAGTAGCCCCAGACTCACTTGAACTTTGTATCTGGTGGCAGCAGCGGAACATCATGGGATGCCACGGGGAAGAGCATGGGCCACAGTGGCCAGCGCCCTGTGAGCTCCAGGGCACGGTGCTGGACCCGCAGGGGCTGCCGGTTGAACGTGAAGTTCACTTTGAAGGTCATCCCATCTACAAAACGGCTCAGGAGGCTTTGGGCGGGAGGAGGCAGAGAGTTCCAGTTAGAGGTAGGAGGTGAGCAGTGACTGGCCAGAACTCCCCAGCTACTGCTCCTCCTTTTTCTGAGGCTTCCATGTAAAGAGGAAGGAAGTCGCTGAGGTATCTCAAGGTTCCTGTGACAATACTTCACCCATTCCTGTGTCTGGGTCCTGCCTGTGTCAGCAAGAATACCCTTCCCTCCCTTGGCCTCAGGAAGAAGCCTAGAGATCCTCTGGCAGCTTAGGATTCCCCTGGCACATACCTCGGGGAGAAGCTCAGCTTGACACGGTCCAGCTCCACCTTGTGCACAAAGCCCTTGTAGGTGACAGGGTTCTCCTGGTGTATCTCAGAGGTCAAGGTGGCAAACAGGTGGTCACCACGTAGCACTGAAGGGCGGCTCTCGGTCACCCCGGGAACCTACGAGGTGTGAACACAAGCATCTATTCAGGGAAGACCAGAGGAGGGCCCAACGCTCAGGCTCTCTAAAACTCTGAAGGATAAGGATAGATTTGGGCCTTCCAAACCAAGACTCAAGGCCTTACATAGCTGTCCCTGGGGCCCTCAACCTTCTCCCAGCCAACAGCACAAGTGTCAAGAGGAAAACAGCAAATCTTCCCACGCTGCTCAGAGATGCTGCACCCAGGAATCCAGAGCCTCCAGTGCATGACTCCAGGACCTGGCAGCCAGCTCCCAGAACACCAGCTGCCCTTGTAGCCAGCTCAATTCCTATTCTCCTTTAAATCTTGCTAAACTCTCCTCCTGAAATACAGTCACCCTCACCCTCTCCATTCCCACCTGCACTTGGGTGCAGAAATCCATCCTCATGTAATTCTGGGCTGATGTGTACACATTCAAAATATAAGAGCTAAAAAGTGCTCTAAGAATGATCCATCCAGCTCTGTGCTTTCCAGATGAGGGAACTAAGGTTCAGAGAAAGCAAGGCATTTGCATAGGGTCACACAGCTGGTAGTAGCAAAGCCTGGATAAAACTCCAGATTTTCCCCACTACCAGGCTCTGACAGCTCTTTCTGAGCACAAACTTCCTTGAGCCTTGTGGAGCAAGAACCTCTTCTTGTTTGCCCTGTCACAAATAGTGTTTGGCCTGTAGCCTTGAGCCTGCCCTCCCTGCACCCGATTGGAGCCCTGACCTCCAGTGTGAGCAGCTGGGGGTTCTGGTCGGCAGGGTCTCCCATCATGGGCACGGACTCCAGGTCATACTGCTGGATGTCATGCTCCATCTGCAGCTCCTCCAAGTGCAGTAGCAGCCGGAGTTTCACCTCGTAGTTCCTTGACTTGAGGGGTGTCTCCAGCTGGGCCCTGGCAGTGATGGTGCAGGGAGCACAGGAGGGGACAGATACAGAGCAGGTCAGGAAACTCCAAGCCCAGGAGCATCCACCCACCCGTTCCCATCTGAGGCTCTGGAACTGAAAGCATTAGGAAGAAGCACACACTCGAAGGACAGCGATGTAGATGGGGGTCAAAGGCCTCAGAGAAGGGAGTCCTTGCTCTTGCTTCCTAGGATGCCCCTGCCCCCGCCTCAGACCTCACTTGGCATTTGCACTGTGGGTCTTATGGCCAGAACATTCTCCCCCCAGGTCCTCCCAGACCCACCCTTCACCTCATTAAAATGTCGTTCTCTGTTCAAATGTCACCTCCTCAAAGAGGCCAGGACTGAGTGCCCTCTGTAGAACAGTACAGACCCACCCCCTTACCCGCTTTAGTTTTAGTTTAGTGTTAGTTTAATTCATTACAACACTTGTCTCTGTATGAAATAAAATAATTTTCTTTTCCCCAGAGTGTGTGTGCACCCACCAAAGAAACAGCACAAGAGAGAAAGCTCCCTCTGATGGGTTGTGCTTATGCCACAGTCTCCCTTCCTCCATCCTGTCAGGATTTTGAGCACGCATGCACACATGCCTGGCATGATTTTCAAGCTACTAGAGCCAGAATTTGAACTGCAGCCAGCCATGTGAGGTCTGGTTTCCCATGCACAGTGCTTAACCACTGTGCTATGGGGCTGGCCCACTCAAATTTTTAAAAATACCTTGATCTTATTAGGGTAACCCTGTGGTGTAGTGGTTGAGCTGTGCACAGTGTGGCAGATCCCACACCAGGTGCATGTGCATGCGAGTCCAAAATCCTGAAGGGATGTAGAAATGGGAAAAAAAAAAAAAAAGATTGGGGTGTGACCATGCTCCACTGGGTAGGGTGGGAACTTCCTCCCTCTCTCCCTCTCTCTCTCTCTCTCTCTGTAGTGAGTGCATTTGCCCTCTGGCAATAAAGAGAAAAAGCAAGCAATTGCAAGATAAGCATTCACTGTCCCCCACTAGAATGGGCAAGGTCCTGATGTACTGGTTCACCTGGAACAGTGCCTTACACACAGTGTGTGCTCAGTAAGGGAAGGAATGAAGAGAGTCTGGGAGGCTGAGGACAGAGGCCAGAGGTGAGCGGAGTCCAGGCAAAGGGAAGAAGCCAGAAGCAAGACACAGAGAGCAGGGAAGAGTGTGGGGAGAAGAGGGAAGGTTACTTACTTGATCTCAGCAATCTCCTTTGGGGCAGTGAAGATACCTCCCCGAAGGAGTTTGGGGAGCAGCTGCCTGAGGCGGGAGGGTGGGTAGTATGTCCCTAATGCCATACTTAGCTCCAAGTCGTAGCCCTTGGCCCTGCAGGAGCGGGACAAGAAAAGCTGTCACAAGTACAGAAACCCCTCACATACACAGGCTCTGCGAAAACCCCTCTGAGGAGCATGCAGAAGTACTGCTGAAAGGTGGGCATAGGCTTTGTCCAAGGTCGCTCGCCTGCTCACATGGCTGCCCCTAAGCCTGGAGCAGTTAGGAAAGGGGCTCTGGCTCCCAGCTCTGTGCTCTTCCCAAGGGCCACAGCGTCATTGCCAGGATATGCCCAGAATGGATTGGGGGTGGGGGGGAGTTACCAGTCAGGTCTCTCTCCTTCCTCTATCCGATTGGTTGTGACACGACTTGCAGTGACCCGGGTCCGCGTGAAGGGAGCCACAGGCTTCAGCTGTGCAGCCAGGGGGCTGTGGGTGACGGCAGCCAAGAAGCGGGCAATGTAGAAAGTGTTGGCTTTTTTTGAGCTCGCCTCCCCAGGTCCCAGCAGCTCCCACAGCACCGTGGCTGGGAAGTAGCCCACAAAGCTGGTCTGACAGTGGACATGGAGCTCATAGCATGCACCTGGAAGGAGGATGGCAGAGTGAATGGGGGTGGGGTGGAGCCCTTTACCAGCATCCATATGCTGGGCACTCCCCCAGGCTGACCCACCCTGCCCCACAGCAGGGGCCCAGTGGACAGCAATAGCATGCTTCTCAAAGCCCCCATCTCCCAGAGGCTCCTTCCTTTGGAAACCCACTCACCAGGGCCCAGCTGGCAAGGCAGCTCCTGATCTCCACCATAGAAGGCAAATTGGGATGTCCGGCAGAACGAAAAGAGGCAAATGAGGGTGACAGGCTGGGTTCCTCCATTCCGAAGCCTCAGGGTCAGCACCTCTTTGTGGTTCAAATCCAGGTGAATAAGGAGCTGCCCATCTTGGGCTTCATGGGGCCCCTGGACTTCCACGTCCACCCCATGTTTCCCTTGAAGATACTCAGCCCTGGGGAGAGTGGGAGTCAAGCGGGGTTGGGGCTGGAGGGCTGGACTGGGGGTTGCCCTGGGGAAAGGTGTAGGCCGCAAAGTCTCATGAAGAGCCAGCTCTGCACAGGAACCCCACCTCCTCCCCCAGACCGTCTTCCTCCCATTCCTAGAAGGCCTTTCCCCCAAACCCAACCTGAGACCACCCACTCCTTCCTCAGCCAGTCATGGCCCTTCCTCCATGCCTTGCCCCCTTACACACACACACACACTGCACACACACACACAATGCACTCACACACACACACCTGTCATAAAAGATCTTGGCTAGCAGTGACTTATGTTGTTTGCTGATATCTGACCTCGGCTTCACTCTCTTTTCTGGGAGCCGCACGTCGGCCCATTGGTCGAATCTGAAGAACCTGACCCGAGTCTTGGTGACGTAGGCCAGATTCGCAATCTTCATTCCATACAGCATGGAGGAGAAGCCAGGGATGGGGGTCCCAAAGCTGCCAGAAGCAGAGGACACTGGGAAGTGAGGGCAGGCAGGGCCATGGGATGCAGGGCAGCTGGCGAGGCGGGTGGCTGAGGGTGCTTTGGGCTGTGCATGGAGCCCTGCTGCAGAGCAGGCTGACCCAGACACATGGAGACTCCGGCGGCTCAGAGGATGTTTAGTGTTTTAAGGGAAGGCAGAGGGACTTCCCCAGGCAAAATGGGATCATTCCATTAAATAGTAGATTGTACATTTCTAAGGAGAAAGGCCCAATTATAGCTGTTGATTGGGTAGACCAAGGGAAGAGAGAGAAATAATTTTTTTTAAACTGCTTTGGACAGAAAAAAATATATAAACATTTAGCAGAAAGAGCTAAGGGGAAGCTGAGTAAGCTGGTTCAGAAGGGCAGCTGTGGGTCCAGCCTGCTGGTGTGGATGAGAGAGGGGATCAGAGACAGCACAGATGTCCAGAGCGTGTGGGCAAGGAGGCTGATCAGACAGCAGTTTCCACCAGAAGCCAAAGGGTGCAGGAAGGGAAAGGATCCTTCTCCAGAGATCAAATAGCCTGGCTTTGTGCCTAGAGAAGGTGAAGACAGGGAAAACTGGTCAGATGGACAATCACCTCAAGGTTCAGCGCCTGGAATTCAGTCTAGTCAACTAAACAAACACTCAACAGAGGCCTGTTATATCCCAGACACTGTGCTATATGCCGGGCCTTCAAAGATACACGAGACCCGACCCTGCCTCGCATAGCACATGGACCAAACATGTGGATTTTAGCCTGTGCCATGTGGGTGGCCACTGAGGCCCAGGGCAGCTCATGGGGTCAGGTGGAAGTGGGCCCAGCCTGGGAGCAGAGACAGGAGAGTCCATGAAGGCTTCCCCAGGAGACCCGTCAGAATTGAGTCCGGAGGACAACTGGGCACTACTCAGCAGAAGGGAGTATAGGCGTGAGCAAAGTGAGCAGTGCGTGCACAAGAACCTGTGCCTGGAGGGGTAAGGGGCACTGCTACCCACCTGAGCACTCTAGCCAGGCCAGTTCAGGAAACTCCACCTCTAAGGGCCTTGCTTTGCTCCTCTATAAAAAGGAGACAGCGAGACTCACTTTTGGAGGGTTGCTGTGAGGCTTACAGAAGATACTGGCATGTACCGTACCACTTAGCCCAGTGCCTGGCACATGGGAGACCTCGGTGAGGGTGAGCGATAGTTAGCATTACATACAATTTGGTTGAACTACAGTGAAAAGTGTGAGGATTAGGGTGGCAGGAGGAGGCAGAGGGGGGCAGAGACCAATAAGCCAGGCCAGGAAGCCTGGACTTGACCCTGGGGCCAGTAGTCCTTCTCCCTCCTTTATGGATTCCCAGGAACCTGGGAACATTCAAACGTGGGACATACATCATCGACACATTTAAGATCTGAATGATGCTCTTATTTGATTTTTTTAAAGGAATGAAAGCAAATCTTCATTCATAAGAACTGCAGTAACTCTTTGATTTGTTTTTATTATTTTTATTATTTTTAGATTTTTGCCATAGGACATGTGTTCTTTCTTGCAAGAGAGAGACAGAGAGAGGGATAGTGAGAAATCATCCCCGGGGGGATGGCCACACCACAATCCCTACTCTTCCATTCTCCCTTGGGATTTGGGGAATGCATTCACATGCACCCAGCATATTTTTCAAGCCACTGGGGTCCAGGACTTGAACCGTGGAGTCAGTCATGTGAGATCCAGCACTTTAACCACCATACCACCTGCTGGCCCACCACCCGTTTAACTCTGAAGGCTAAATCAGCATGGTTGCTCACTGGAGTATATAATATCAATTATGTTTATGAATATTTCTATGGTGCTCCCTGCCTGGAACTCTGCCTTTCTCCTTCATCCCAAGCAAATGAGAGCTATAAACTTACAATTGGTTCTGATTTATTTTAAAAAGATAAATCATTTAAAGGTATAACAGAAAATGCTCAGTTAATGTTAGCTGCTATTATTAGTGTTCATTAGTAGTAACAGTATACTACTAGTAGCAATAGTAGTAGGAGTAGTACCAACTTACTTTCAGCCCACGCCAGAGGCTACACTGTGGTTACAGAAGCACTGTGGCTGGTGGGTTTTAAGAAGGGGAGTGGCAAGATCGTATTTGCATTTCAAATCATTCTGGCATCAGGATTGGAGGATGGATTTGCTGGAGGCAAGACTGTGGGCAGGGAGACAAGTTAGAAGAAGGCCATTGCAACTGTCCAGTTAAAAGATAATGAAGGCCTGAACAAGGCAGGGGTAGAC